TGCAAACACAACTGCTTCACGGTAGAAACACGAATGGGACGGAGGTACCCAAGCAATCGACTTTTGTACAAGGTCTCTGGTATCTTCATTTATAGATAATAATATTACATATAGGAAATAATTAATTTTATTTTTGAGTATTTATTTGTAATGGATAAATACCTGTGTGGTCCCGGCATAGAAAGGACCATCCCTTCCTTTCCCGTGGTTGTCGTAAGAGGCGACTGAAGGAGGTCGAGAGATAGGCAGGTGCGTTGTTCTTAAAAATTCTTTAAAAGCTTAACTGAGTGTCAACCCGCTTGTCAAGCTCACATCTTTTTTTTTTACAACACAGGGGGCAAACGAGCATGCGGCTCACCTGATGGTAAGTGACTACCGCCGCCCATGATCACCCACAACACCTACGGCATTGCAGGTGTGCTGCCGGCCTTTTAAAAAGGAATATGCTCTTTTCATGAAGGTTATGTTGTCGTATCGGTTCGGAAATACTGCTGCTGGAAGTTGATTTCAAAGAGGGGTTGTGCATGGGAGAAAGTGCCTTGAAAACGCACGGTGGAGGACCGCCACTTCCCTCCAGATGGTTAGGATGAAACTTTAGTTTATGGCGGGTTGTACGGTGGTGAAAATCAGCACCAGCAGTGGACAATGAACGGCTGATATGATGATATGATGATTGGATTCCACTAAAAAACCAACTTTAATTGTAGAAAAACCAATTATTTTGAAATAAAAACTAAACTATTGAACCGATTTTAATATAGTTTCTATGGGATCTGTAAATATATCTTTTTAGAGAAAAAAATCCTAATCGGTTTATGTGGTATGATAGTTATAAGGTAACAAACATAAAAAAGACATAACCGAATTGAAAATCTCCTTAATTTTGAAATCGGTTAAAAATTGACAGTTGCCACAACTACTTACAAACTACTTACAAGTTATACGGTGTCCCAGTTTAAGTACGAACGCGACTATGTAGCAGTTATTTAAAAAAAAAAATTAAAAAACACATGCTAATAACTTAATCTATGGCTTCATTGAGTAGGTTTTTTTTTTAAACGGTTTTTATTATTGGCACACAACAAAAATGTCATAATATTTTCTTATAGCCATTTATTATTCTAAAAAAACTATATTCTATTTTTAAAATAAGCAAATGGTTTTCTTCCATTTTTAAAGATGTAAAGGTCAATCAGTATTTCTGTGAGTAATTTATTAATATTTATTACTTACACGTAATATTATTCTATTAACCATTTAAATAAAAAAATAATTAAAAGAAGCAAAATTGCTATTATTAATGATAAGAGTCACTTTTTTTTATTTAAAACAATCTAATTTAAACTGACTATATATAAACTAACTTATCTGTATATATAAAAATTAATGCCACTTTTCGTTGTAATTCTATAACTCAAGAACGGGCTCACCTATCCAAACCAAATGTTTAGGCTTTGTTCGCACTATTTAGTAGAAGGTTTATGTGAAGTTTGCACAAAATCGCTCGAGCGGTTCTTCATTTATCACATTATTTTGTAACATATGAATTCAATAAATGGCGGATCATTTTGTTAATGGGGATTTTTGTGTCAAATACAAACTTTTTTTTAAGATGAGGATTGTGCTGTCAAATTGAAACTTTTTTCAGTGTTGACAATACAAGCGTGTTGTTATGTCATTGATGCGGTCATTTCATTTTGGTCTTGCTTCGATTAAAGCAAATTGTCAGTTATATTTATGTTAAAGCTATTTTTTTATTATTTTACTTTATACGTAGCGAAGCACGTACCGGACCGCTAGTTAAGTAATAAAATATAGAATAAAAAAAAAAGTATATGGCTATTGCATAATATTTTGACGCGTCTCTGCCAGCAATGTGTATGTATAGTGTAAATCAGTGTTTTTCAAAGTGTGGGTCACGATCTCCTGAAGGCCTCTAAGCCTCTACAAGGGAGTTGTTGAGAGCACTACTATCGCATTTATAGATTAATTCTGTATATTTGTACATTACAATAGGTTTAATTGGGGGGAAGGGATTGTTAGTAATACGGGCTATCAGTCCAATTACTAGCAATATACCCTATCAGGTCGACCTCCCCGTGGTCCCCCCTAAAAACCATCGTGCTGAATTCCAGGTGTATTTTTTTTATGGGTGATAATGAAATAGTAACCCCACCCGCGCTATCAGTTTACACCGGCGGGGCACCAGTGAAAGATGATAGGTGAGGATGAAACAGGTCAGTTAGCCCATCGTGACGAATTCAACAAGAATTGTTCAAGATGGTTTTCAGGAGGAATCACGTGGAGGTCTACCTGATAGGGTATATTGCTAGCAATTGGATTGATAGCCCGTATTTTATTACTATCAACGGGGATACCCATATTGCTATCAATGGGGCTGCCAAACTCCATTGCTAACAATCCCTTTTCCCCCATTCCAGGTGTATTCATCACGATGGGCTGACTGACCTGCTCTTTCATTCTCACCTATCACCCCCACTGATGCCCCATCAGCGTACACCGTTAGCGCAGGCGGGGTTACCATTCCATTATCGTCCATTGAAAAAAAAAATAGGTTTAACCCTTAAAAAACCTGATTTTTTAAATTAAATTAATAATATATATAAGTATACCCTTTACTGTGTTGTACTAATGGGGAAAAATAGTAAAAAAATCAAAGCGATATTTCAATATAGTTAATATCTAGCATTCCAGATTTGAAATATTCATTAACGCACCCACTCCTCCCCCCCCCCTCCCACACACACACATATCTGGTCCCCTTCAAGTGGTGCAAAACAAATTCCTGCGACGAGTCACGGGGTCCCTGGTTCGTAGGCAACGTGGATCTCCATCGAGATCTCAAAATCCCCTCGACAAGGCAGTTTATTTAAGGAAGCGTCTAGACGCTACTTCGCCACAGCCAAATCATATCCAAACCCGCTCATTGTAAAAGCGGGCTCGTACAACCCACAAGGAGAATGTCAGGTGGCCTGAATTGAGGTCCGAGCCACTAGGGCTCAATCGGGCACACACCGCAATCCTTCAGCAAGAATTGACGCTTCGGTCGCGGGCTTGGAGTGCCTTCTGCACTCGCCTCTGCACACGCGCTCAGTGAAGCTGCAAAGATCATCTGCGGCCAACAGCAAAAACGGATCGAAAAAAAGAAATATTCAGTACTTGAAACACCATTTTTTGTTTACATTACATTCATTTCCTTTTATATTATTTGTCTTTTTGCGGATTACTTTGGGCCGTCTGATACCGCGGTGTACCCCATAAGGAGTCGCGGAAAACAATTAAAATTTCAAACGTAATATTCACGTTCTGTTTTAGGTACTTGATTATGTATTATTTATTTATTTTATTGTATCTAACCGATACCTAACTATAAAAAATAACTGGAACCGCGAAGGGCACGGGTTGGCAAAATATTTTTAACGTACTAAGAAGTTCGCGCCATGAAAAAGTTTAAAAAACACAGTACCATTATACTATGTCTATGGTTTAAATCATAGACTTAGTACTTTATAATGTTAAGGATAAATAACAAAAACTTTCTGTTATCAAAGCTAAGGATACCTTTTCAATTCGCCTTTACTTTTTCATCTTGTACTTTATTTTACGATAGACTTGCCAGTGCAGGTAAATCTTTTTGTAAATATAAGATTTCCTCACGCTTTTGTTCTACATTTGTTGTAGCCTATGAACATTTGAAAAAAGAAACGCACCATCCGCGCTCTTTAATATCCATGCACGTCGACGATATTGTTGTGAAAAAAAAAGGAATAAAAATATTATTGTTTCATCTATGGTATCTTGTAATTGTTTACTTTTTAATACTTTTTTCTTTGTAACCATTTGTTTTTAAACTGATGGCTTTCTGTTAAAGCATTAAAGCTGTTGGCAAAGCATTAATAAATTATAAAAAATACATACCTATAGAAAATACGGCGTGGGAACGAACACAAAAAAAAACATTCTTATTTAATAAAAATATTGTATATTTTTAATGTATTTTTTATACACTTTAATAACTAAAATTACATATCTTTTGTCTCTTTGAATAATTAAAAAAAATAATCATTTGAAGAATTACATTTGAGTACTTAATTTAATTAAAAATAAAATAGGTCTTTACCTATCTGCCTTTGTTAGTTTTTGACCGCTATTTCTACGCTAAGAACAAGGAATTACATAAAAGGAATGATAAAATAAAAACTTCATAGCAGGCTAGTGTATATAAAATGTTACACGGCCGTATAACCCTACCAAATTCAGATACAACCTGCTCGCATACTTTCTACATAAACTGTGTTGAATATATAATTTAGTAATGTAAAATTTGTCTTTGACAAATAATTGACATATCAAACATTTTCATACACTAGCCTGCTATGAATTAAGAAAAAAAAAATAGCAACTGATGGTGTATCTTTCGTCCTCTTTTTACTAATTATATTTGCATAAGAAGAAAGGAGGCGACCATATGATTTACAGTTTTTATTTTATCATTTCTTCTATGTAATTCCTTGTTATTAGCTTCTTCGCGTGGATTTCACAAGTAGGAAAGCAAGTGAAATTGTTCACTTGTAAACGGCGTAACAAGATGAATTTTTAAATTCAGGAATAAAGCTGTGAAAATTCTTTTCTCTTACATTCTTCACGACTCTGGAACGCGCTTCCTGATACCATTGAGAGACTACCGTATAAACCGTCTTTAAAAAAAAACATTCATGCTCACTTTTTTACTTTATCCAAACACTAAGTACCACCCACATATTATTCTTAATTTCTTGTATAATATATTTTATATATGTGTAAGTATATTTGTTATATACATATATATATGTAATTTTAGTATGTATGTATATCAATAATTACTAGTACCGCATTCGAGTATTCTGACATTTCCCTACGGTTGACTGGGAGAGAATGCTTTTAGCATTAAGTCCGCCATGTACATATACTAATGAATAAATAAATAAAACTGATTTAAAAAAAATAACAAAACATTTATTTTTTTAATTGTATATTGGGGTGCCGGTTTCTAGAAAACCTTGTGAGTTCTCATGCTCTATTGATAACTAGGTACATTACCTTACTAAGTATACCATTACTTGCTGGATAAGCACACGCGACCTAAATAACACATACTGACTCTATCTCTATCCTATTTAAGAGCTGCGCTCTTGTCGGTGGAGCTCTTGCCACTCACTACGATTTTCAGCGAGTCTCTTCACCTCTTGATACGACACGACACCAACTCCTTCCTTGATCTGCCTGATGTAACTATGTCTCGGTCTCCCTCTCCCCCTCCTTCCTTCTATTATAATGTTCATAAGTTTGTCGTGTCGTATCAAGTGTCCTAACATTTTTCCCCTTCTGTCCTCAATAGTTCAACACACATACTGACATGAAGATTATTTTAATTATGATGTCTAGCATCAAAGGTACTCTGCACTCACTATTTTTTTTTTTGATAGGTGAAAGTAGTATGGTAACCCCGCCTGCGCTAACGGGATACGCTGGTGGAGCACCAGTGAAGGGTGATAGATGAGAATGAAAACAGGCCAGTTAGCCCATCATGATGAATTCATCAGGAATTAACCATGATAGTTTCCAGGGGGAACCGCATGGAGGTCGACCTGGTTGGATATATTGCTAGCAATGGGATTCTCAGTCTCCATTACTAACAATCCCTTTCCCCCCTCTGCACTCACTATTTACCTCTTGTGGGTGCTGGAGCCCCTGATCACCTACGGAGTCGGCATCCCCGCTTTCAATAACTCCTATTTTTTTTTTAATGGATGAAAACGAAATAGTAACTCCGCCTGCGCTATCAGTACACACTGGCGGGGCACCAGTGAGGGATGATTGGTGAGGACGAAAAGACAGGTCAGTTAGCCCATCGTGACTAATTCAACGGTAAATTAGTCGCGACAGTTTCCAGGGGGAACCGCGTGGAGGTCGGCCTGATAGGGTGTATTGATAGCAATAGGGACTAGCCTCCCCATTACTAACAATCCCTTCCCCTCTATAACTCCTACTAAAACCCCTTATACCCAGATAGCAAGGAGAGGTCTACGACTCAAATGAGACGTCAGTTTTTAATCTATATGGGGTCAGTGACTGAAAATGACGTCAATATGACGAATTATTGCTACCTGATTTTTTTATGTATCTTATATGTACAGATTTTGCCTTATATTTATATCTACCTTCAATTTACAACAATAAGGTTTCATTCATTCGATACATTATTGTCTAATCTATAAACAGACTTTAATGGTTCAGAAACAGTGCTAGGGGTGGCTGCGTTCACTTTTACAGAGTGACGGTGTAGCAACCCTAACTGGCCCTCCATTATTACTTCAGCAATCGCCCTCTTTGCATACAGCCGCTGGGTGTTCTCCATCTTCCGAAGGTCGGCAGCACACGCCATGGCCCAATGGTAGTATTCGTCCTTATCTTCGTTTAATCTCTCGTATGTTAAATTCATACGATCATCTTGCCTTGCTTTTTTACTCTGTGCACACATAGCTGTATGAGTCGTGTCCCGACTCTCATTTTGATTTATGACGGTAAGACACTGTTTCTGTAAATGAAAAAGAAATTAAATCTTTTTTTTTTGTTTTATTATTTTTAATATTATAATATCGATCAGGTAAGTTGTAAATAGCGTTTATTTATTTATTTATATACAGGAAAACAAGGACTACATCAGAGCAAATAGATATAGTTTAGAATCACAAACCAACGGGTCTACCATGAAATGAAATTCCGAAATTTCGGACACAATTTCGTGTTTTTGTTTATACCAAAATCGGACCAATAAATGGAGTTTAACATTTCGTTCGTCATACATCCTATCGTAAAAGTGCAAAGAAACAATATTTTAACATTTTTAATATTTCCAAACGGCATTATTATGTAATTTTAACATCAAATTTCTGTTTCGTTTGGCTCCGAAATTTCGGAAAACATTTCATGATAGGCACTCAGGTCACTAATAGGTCTCCACAAATATATATATATATATATATATATATATATATATATATATATATATATATATATATATATATATATATATATATATATATATATATATATATTTTATACAACTTAGAATGGCAAACAATCTGACGGCCCACCTGATGGAAAGTGGTAACCGTCGCCTATAGACATGAGCTGTAACCATGGACATAACAGAGACAGGACAGGACTGTTTCGCCCATGATACCTCCCATGCGTTGCCATTCCTGAGGACTCAGGTGTTATTCCTCTGTACCCAGTAAATTCACGCCATATCCCACTCTTCAAACCGAAACACAGCCATGCAAACACAACTGCTTCACGGTTGAAACACGAATGGGACAGAGGTACCCAAGCAATCGACTTTTGTACAAAGTCTCCCTCTGGTAAATAGCAACAGTACAAATAGAAGACTCTATATATAATATAATATAATGTCATTAGTTAAATACAATTGTTCTTAAGAAAAATAATATAAATTATACATGTTACATCTGACAAAACAACATAATAATGAAGATCACACAATTATATAATGACATTACTATTTTACTTTGAATTTAGAATAAAAAGAAAAACATATAAAAAACAAAACGAACGTAGCAGTGTTTGTGCAAAGGACCTAACTCGTCATATGTCGCAGTTTCAAATCTGAAGCTACGACACTGATTTTCAGTAGGCCCTGATTAATATGTAACTCACGGACACACGTGTGCAAAAGATGTAATGTATAAATATATTAAGAATAATATATAAAACAGTGATAAATATATAAGATAAACACGGGAATAAAGATAAGAGATGTACATTAGAAATAGATCCAACGATGAGTCACATGAGAAAGACTATATGTGCTGGATCTAGTATTTAATTATATTATTATATATTTATATACTAGAACCAGCACATATTTTATAAACATAATAAGTGGTCCTTCGAGCCGGATTCATATTTGAAGTACTATACACAAAGTAATAAAATAAAAATAAATAAGTTTGTAAAATAAATCCATGGCTCATTACACGTTTTGGAATACTGCAAGTGTGGTGAGTAATTTATAAATAAAAAAAAAATTAAAAACAGGAATTAACAAAAAAAAATATATAAACAAATAAAAGGAAATAGGAAGAAAAAATTATAATTATTGAATGAAATACAAAATGAAAATTAAATGTAAATATTTAATTAAAATGTGGCCTTCTACATCCATACAATACGTATTCAAACAGGCTATGAATGAAAAAATTGCTTACTCAGTTGGTCTCTCGCTGATATTATATTTTTCGAAATTTTACCAAGAGACTACAGCATGGGGTTCTTCAAAAAAGAGGTAAAGAGGTTTCTTTAGGGTCGGCGACGCGCGCATTATATTATGTCCCTGGTATTGCAGGCGTTCATATGCTACGGTCATTGTTTACCATCAGGTGGGCCGTATGCTTGTTTGTCACCTTAGTGGTATAAAAAATAAGCATAAAGATGACTAGTGCTCGTAATTTGCACAGAAATGTACGCAAATTTTATATTGGCACTAATTCTGTCTCATGCCCAGATTTTTTTTTTATATCTGTCACGTCTATCTCCCATTGGGGTAGGCAGAAATAGAATCCAGGTTTCCTTTTAGTATAATATCGTTGAAAACCAAATTGAAAACTTACAACTTTCGGTTCTTCGTCCAGGCCATTTGTTCTCGACTTTTCTTCTACATTCTTAGGTGCCGAGTCCAACGAAACGTCTTGATTGTGCAAGAAATTCATTTCATCGAAGTACCACAGCGATGGTTTGTATGTAGAACCACCATGTTTCATAGAATGAATGTATTTTTTTAATTCCTTCCTATAATTCGTTCTCAGAATATTAAATTTCCTTTTCACGTCCTCTTTCTTCGCGTCGGGATACATTTCTTTGTATTTCGCTAAAAGCAAATCGTAAGCTTTAGTTTTTTGTAAACGATCGTGGTATATTTTACTTTTTACATTCCACAATGCCGGTAATTCGCGGTATAAATGGATACAGTCAACAATGAACTCTCTTTCTTTGCTCCTAAGAGCGTTTTTATCATCCACTATCTTTTCCATTGTAAGTAGGTGAGCGAGCGACACGTGTACAGCACTGCTTCGAGAAGTCGACTAAAAATATTGCGCAATCAACGCTCCAGCCGCCACAATAGGCGGACAATACACGTTCACATTGCTCAATAAAAGTTTAAAATTGCGCAATGTCCAAAGAACCAGAGGGAGACTTTGCACAAAAGTCGATTGCTTGGGTACCTCTGTCCGTGTTTCAACCGTGAAGCAGTTGTGTTTGCACGGCTGTGTTTCGGTTTGAAGGGTGGGATATGGTGTGAATTTACTGGGTACAGAGGAATAACACCCGAGTCCTCAGGAATGGCAACGCATGGGGGGTATCATGGGCGAAACAGTATACTCTGTTATGTCCATGGTACTGCTCATGTGTATAGGCGACGGTTACCACTTTCCATCAGGTGGGCCGTCAGCTTGTTTGCCATTCTAAGTTGTATAAAAAAAAGGCATCTGGATTTATGGCATTCTATTTCAGCTTTCTAATGAATTTAATGTACGTATTTATTTAATATTAAATGCAATTAAATAAAATGGTCTCATTCTTGGACCGTATTATGCTTGTGTTCGCCCAGGATGTTGTAATCATATGTCGTGCTATTATAACAAAAAAATATTAAATATATTTGTACTTAATATTATAAAGATGTGTATGCCCCGACATAGAATTGGCCACCCCTTTTTTTCCGTGGGTGACGTAAGAGGCGACTAAGGGAGCGCGAGGGATGGGCCGCAGCGTCCCTCTTAAAACATCTCTAAAAGTCTAATATTAGTGCTTTGCTCTTTTGAGGGCGAAGCATTAAACTGAGTTGTGGCCATTTTGTATTGCTATTTTTTTGTATATGTATGTTGTAATTTGTGTACTGTAAGTAATGCAAATAAATTATCTATCTATCTATCTATCTAACTGCGATTGTCAACCCGGCTGCCAAGCGTGGCAACTACTGGCAAAACTCCCCTAATGGGGAAGGCTTATGTCCAGCAGTGGACAGTTAAGAACTGAAATAATAATTATAAAGATGTGGTGGCCTATTCTACGCCGTGTGATTCCAGCATAGGATAGGCCATCCCTTCCATTCCTGTAAGTATCATAAGAGGCGACAAAAGAAACTTAATGGTAAAGGGATGGGCAGTAGAATCCCTCTTAAAACATCTCTAAAAGCCTAACTGCGGTTGCCAACCCGCTTATCTTATCTTATATTTGAATATGGGGTCAGCCAAGCTGTTGCACGTCGACCCATCGGGATCTTTTGTGCTTCCCCCTGCCTTATACCATCATTTCATAGATCCTATGTGTTACCTTAACGATATCCCGCGGTTTAAGATATCTGTAGTCCCCTGGCTCTGGATAAGCCGTTCCCAATAGACCCATACGAATCGCAGTTGCACATCAAGTGTTCCATGGATTCCGACTTCTCCCCGCACAGTCTGCACAGTGTGTCTGAAGATAGACCCATCTTGTGTAGTATATGCCTTATTGGCATATGTCCAGTTAGGGCACCCATAATGAGTCTTGCCTGTTGTCTGCCACCGCTGTAGATGAGTTTATCCCATCCCTCAACACTGCCAACCCGCTTGCCAAGTGTGGCACTTACTGGCGAAACTCCCCTTATGAGGAAAAGTTATGTTCAGAAACAGACAGTTAACGGCTGAAATGAAATGAAAATTATGTTGTTATGAAAATTACAATAACCTAATCCCAAGTATTATTCATTTGCTAATTAAAGCTTTTTGCCTATCAATCTGCCCGTGTGAAGCCGGGGCTGTTCGCTTGTAATCTATACTTATAATAAATCTGTAGAGAGGTCAATTCTGTACATGAAATATATTTGCAAAATAACTATCAGCGGGTGAATAGTGATCGATACTGATGACCAAAATACAATCAGTAAAATTTTTGTCTGTCTGTATGTTCGTTATAGTAACAAAAACTACTCGACGGATTTTAACGAAACTTGGTACAATTATTGTTTATACTCCTAGGCAGGTTGTAGTATACTTTTCATCACGCTACGATCAATAGGAGCAGAGCAGTGAACGGAAATTTTGGGAAAACGGGAGAAGTTACTCCATTTTTAAGCTTCCGTCGCGTGTGCAGCCTTAATGGCCACTTTTTAAAATGTAAAAATGTCCACCCGTGCGACGCCGGGACGGGCCGCTAGTATATAATAAGCAAATAGTCATAGGGGGGAAAGGGATTATTAGTAATGGAGACTGAGAATCCCATTGCTAGCAATATACCCAATCGGGTCGACCTCCTCGCGGTTCCCCCTGGAAACTATCATGGTTAATTCCTGATGAATTCATCATGATGGGCTAACTGGCCTGTTTCCATTCTCATCTAATTTACTAGGCCATTAAGGCCACTTTTTAAAATGTAAAAATGTCCACCTAAATAAAACTGTCCAAATAAATAAAACTATGTTTGGCCGGGTTTCAATTTCATTACTGTCTGTAGTGTCACATGTTGTTGCCATTTAAACATTAGGTAAAAATTACATTTAAAAGTATTACATTATTTTAGAGCTCCACATTGTAATTATGAAATATGTGACTGTAAAAAATACTCATTTTGTCTATTAATTAAAATTCATATATGGTACTTACATAAACATTTGTTTAATTATGTACAATAAATCTTATTTATAAACTACGTGATAAAAAAAATTTTGCATCGTGGGAATTATCCTATTAAATATTATTATTATATTAAATTGAGTTTATTTATTCATTCTTCGGCGTATTAACTACTTTACAAATTGTTATTAATATTGAAGTATTAATATTATGTATGGAGTGTTATTTGAGATAAAAATGGGTATAGGCTACTTTATATCCTGTCAATCAAATCCTAGTCACGTGAAAGAAGTCGCGAGTGAAAACTAATTAACTCATAAATCGATCGTGTACAGACTTCCTAAGTTATGTCTCGCTCTCGCGAAAACATTGACGCGCGTACTGGCCGTCAATGACAGTCAATGTTATTGATGGCCAGTATTTATTAGGTGAAATTATTTGTCCATAGACAAAACGATTATTGTAAATTATGGACAGCACCAGACCCGTGTCACTTCGTGCAAAAAAATTTTGTATAAATCTATGCATTTAGTTCATATTTTTAACAGTTCTTAGAATTTGAAAATTGCATTTCTGTTTTGTCAAAGGTTTATTGAAAGAGAATGCTATATAGCATTAGTCCTTCTTTTTTACCAGACATTTTGTTTCTGTAATATAGTCAATAAAGAATAAATAAATACAAAAAAAGCACAATTCATAATCTTTCTATGATTTCTATAGTCTATGAATCAATCATATTACCTTTGGTCTCACAGTGCAATGACCGAAGTGATTGTCAATATTAAAACGAAACGATCAATTGACATTATCAATGGATCTGTCAATGGGCTTAAATTAAATGATTTTTTTTATCAATTACCTTCAATCTTGTTATTATGATTGATGATCACTATTTCAATGGTACAAAATAGAAAATACCAGAGATAGTCTTTTAAAAAACACCATATACCGATGGCGTAGTCACTATCGTTCATTAATAAGGTCGAGATATATATATATATAAAAAAAATAGAACGTCAACAAGACAATTATAGTTTTATCTATGCCCTTACCTTAAGGACATCTAGTTAAACCATTCTAAATTAAAAAAAAATCTGTTGATCTATGTACCTGACAGGTTTGTACGATAATTTTTAAAAAGACCCGCTGATATAAATTGCAGTTTTTTTTTTAAATTGCAAGAATGTAGAGAAATTCACCACGAGATTAATATATTGTTGTGATTATTAGTAAATTATAAAAAAAATAGTATTGTTATTTGAGTGTAGAGATTGCTACTAACATTAAGTCCACCTTTTGTACCATTCGTATATTCTCTTGATCAATAAAGTTATTTAAATAAATAAGTAAAAAACTAAGATATAATAGTATTTTTATATAATAATACTATTTATTAAGAATACGCGATAAACAGAAAATATTTTTGATAAAAACAAGAAAAGTGCGTGTAATAATTTTTTTTTTATGCCGCGAAAGTGGCAATCAAGCATTCAGCCCGATTGGCGGTAAACGGTCACTACCTATAGTCTATGGATGCCTGCAAACAGGGTGTAAGCATCTAATTTTGTAAGCGTCAATGTTTTCCAAATTTACTGGGTACAGAGGAATAACACCTGAGTCGTCAGGAATGGCAACGTAAAACAGTATACTCTGTTATGTCCATGGTACTGCTCATGTCTATAGGCGACGGTTACCACTTTCCATCAGGTGGGCCGTCAGCTTGTTTACCATTCTAAGTTGTATAAAAAAAAAAAGAATTTTATATTCGCAAAATTGCTGCCTCAATACAGTATTTTAAAGAATTTTTACCTCGTAACGTATAAATCTTTAAAAACATAGTCAATTTGACAAATTTGATCATGCTAAGCAGCGCGTACTAATCTAGTTATTGAGCTCACAATAAATTAAAACAAGTATTAGTGGAATATTTTTTAATTTTTACAACTAGAATTTACAGACGGGATAACCCGCTCTCAAAGCTAAGTGTTACAGATACATTAAAAAAAAAAAGTTATGCGATTATATTTTAAGCGGTATGTACACTCGTTTTCCTCATACACTGTAGAATAATCAATAGAATTAAATGAAAAGGTAACATAGTTTTGATAACATTATTTATTTATTTAACTTCACGTACGTATCTACTTTTTTTTTACTGGATATACTGATATTCCAATACATCAACAAATAGTCTTATATTAGAGTCATAGATAAAATTATTTGTTTTTTTTGTTTCTTCTATGGTTTGTTATTTATTTTCAATAAATATTATACTGTAAAATCTTTATTGTACATAATTCAAATTGAATACTTATAAATGATTTAACAATACAATGGAGGACTTGTCCTATAAAGGGATCTCTTACAGTCAACCTTTGAGAAGCTGAAAGAAAACTGTAGAATGTATAAGGGTAATAACCATACAATTAAAGATAAACTAAATAATACCCAGTAAAAAACT